TCCTGGTGATTGGCCCAAAGTCACCCAGCCGGCTTTCATGCCTAAGGCGGGACTAGAACTAGCCATTTCCTGGTGATTGGCCCAAATCACCCAGCTGGCTTTCATGCCTAAGGCGGGACTAGAACTCACCATTTTATTTATTTTATTTGGTTTGTCAATTGCTTACAAGATAATAGGTATAAGTTATGAATACATAGATACATATAAGAAAAATAAAAGAAGCAATAGGACAGGGACGCTGGACACGTCGGTGCGCTTATGCATGTTGGCTTTCATGCCTAAGGCAGGACTAGAATTCACAGTCTCCTGGTGACTAGAATTCACTATTATCTGCCGATTGGCCCAAATCGCCCAGCTGGCTTTCATGCCTAAGGCAGGACTAGAACTCCCCATCCCCTAGTGATTGGCCTAAAGCCACCCAACTGGTTTTCACACCTGGCAGGACTAGAATTCACAGTCTCTTGGTTTCTAGTTCAGCACCTTCACTACTGGGCCAAACTGGCTCTAGAGCCAGTTCCAGCCAAAATCCCATCCCCAGCTTTCCCCATAAGCCCCCTTCTCTTACGCATATCGAAAAGGTCTTTGGGAGGACTCTCGTCCGGTTTCCCAGCATTGGTCTCCCAGCTGTTGAAGTTTTCAGTGTTGACATACATGTGCTGTTCGTAATCTTGAGAGCCCAAAGGTTTGCTGTCTGCCTGAACGTAGCCGTCGCAACAGTGACCTGAAAGACCCAATAGAATTCTTTATTGGCCCGGTGTGGTTGGACACACAAGGAATTTGTCTTGGTGCAAATACTCTCAGCGTCCATAAAAGAAAAGATACATTTGTCAAGAATCAAGAATCATCAGGTACAACACTTAGTGATAGTCACAGGGTACAAAAAGCAATCAAATCATACTAGGAAAAGTCAATATAGATCGTAAGGATACAAGCGACAAAGTTACAGTCATACAGTCACAAGTGGAAGGGGATAGGTGATAAGGAGTGATGAGAAGATTGATAGTAAGAGTAGTGCAGACTTTGTGAATAGTTGGACAGTGTTGAGGGAATTATTTATTTAGCAGAGTGATGCCATTTGGGAAAAAACTGTCCTTGTGTCTAGTTGTTCTGTTGTGCAGGGCTCTATAGTGTCGTTTTGAGGGCAGGAGTTGAAACAGTTTATGTCGGGATGTGAGGGGTCTGTAGATATTTTTCACAGCCCTCTTGAACAGCATCTATTTCTATCCTTTTAATTACATTCGGTTTCCCTCATTTACACTCTTCTGTCCCGTTTTCCCAAATCAGTCGTGTATTTTCCAACATTTAGAGGGGAAAAAAAAAATCTCAGTCCTGTGTTTACATTTGTCACACTTTTTCTGGCCTTACGATATAATGGTTGTCTTCGACTTACAACAGTTTGTTTAGTGACCGTTCCAAGTTAGAACAGCACTGAAAAAAGTGACTTAGGACCGTATTTCACACTTACAACCTTTGTAGTACCAAAATGTGATCAAATGTGATCACCATTCAGATGCTTTTGGCAACTGATTCGTATTTATGATGGTTGCAGTTTCCATAACTCATGTGATCTTCTTTTGCGACCTTCTGACAAGCAAAGTCACTGGGTAAACCAGATTCACTTATCAACGAGGTTACTAACTTATCAACTGCAGTGATTCACTTAACAACGGTGGCAAGAAAAGCCGTAAAATGGGATACAACTCACTTAACCAATGTTTCACTTAACAACAGAAATTTTGGGCTCAATTATGGTAGTAAGTTAAGAATTACGGGATCTGTATATATTTGTGGAAGTTGTTCTCCCATATCATTCTGTTTCTTGTCATTTTTCCTCCCAATAATGTATATTTGAACAGAGGGAGCATCACAAAAATCCCTCAAAAATGCCAAACAGGGAAAGTTCCAGTCCTTATCTTGACTTGAGAATTGATTCTGAATTAATTAAGTTTTCAGAAAGTAAATGGCATCCCATCTTTCTTTATTTCCATCGATTTTAGAAGTTTGGACTCCAAGGGACGCTTTTACATCCAAAACACCGCTACTTGAGAGAAAGCCAGCTTGCAGTAGCTGGCAAAAATACAAAACCAAAACTAAAAAAACCCCCAAAATCTGTAAATTCATTTCTGCTCCTTGAAGCAGAACATAATTGCTGTTTTTTTTAAAGTCAATACTGCACCACTAATAGGCAAGAAAGTAAGAGGGAGGTAAGGAATAAAGACGGTTGGAGACAAAAAAAAAAAATTAAAAATGGAGGGAAGGAGACTTAAGCATCTTGAAAAGAATCTTGTTTAAAGATTCATTTTTCTTGCCATGTACATGTATACATCCATGTGTTTTTTTTCTGTGTCATATAATATACTAGCTCGATACCCGTGCTTCGCTATGAAACTATGTGATCGGACCTAGTTTTGGGGGAGGAAAATAATGGGGGAAAAATTCTGCCTGCCTACCAGCATCCATCGGTATTCATCTGGCAAGCGTCCTGTCAGTGTGTGAGAGAGTTGAGGGCTATTTGGAAACTGAAACAGTATTTGCTGTGTGAGCAAGGAGACAGCAAGGAGCCTGGGCGTGGCTTAGCTCAACTGTTCTGTAGTAAAACTGGTTGCAGCTGTGAAACTGAAACCGAAACTCCTCTCCTCTGCTTGCGTTTCGCATTTGGAACAGATTTCTTTTCAGGTGGGGAGGGGGCGTAGAACTCCTTAGCATCAGAGCGTGTTAATAACAATACTATAGGAAATACTAATGCTCTGATGGTCATTTTGAAAAATCCTTTCTTAGTGAGCCCCTAGAAGCCAAGAGAAACATATGTGCCAAATTTCAAGCGTGTAGGCTTTACAGTTCTGGACATTTTGTGATGATGCGTGAGTGGTATTTCGCTTTTATATATAGAGATGTGGGTATAAGCATAATTTTGCATTTATTTATTCTGTCATGGTTATGTAATGTATATTTGGAGGGGGTGACCCTTTGAAAGTTATATATGCAATGAAATTTATTTTTAATATAGGCCAATTAGTGTAGGCCAAAAGTGAAAATAAAGTTATTCTATCTATTCTACCTTATCTACAGCTGAGAAATTCCAAAGGTGTTTTTTTCAAAAGGCATCTGGATTTTCTTGGTTTTTGCTTGAAGACATTTCGCTTCTCATCCAAGAAGCTTCTTCAGTTCTGATTGAATGATGGAAAATAGAAGGATTTATATTCCTTGCAGTCATCTGGTCATTTGCATTCTTTTAGAGGGTCATTGAGGCCACTTGAAGGTTTATCTGTGCCCTCAGGGAACTGCTGAGAGTCCTCAGAGAGGGTGCTAATGACCAGACGACTGCATGGAATATAAATTCTTCCATTCTCCACCATTCAGTCAGAACTGAAGAAGCTTCTTGGATGAGAAGCAAAACATCTTCAAGGAAAAACAAAGAAAGTCCAGTTGCCTTTTGAAAAAGCACCTTTGCCAAAACCGTCACCGGGATGACTGAGAATCTCCACAGACAACCATGGACGGTGAGAAAGGAGAAAGTGTAGGACCAGGCTGATGGAAAAACAAAGAGGAACATTGGACGCCGTGACATTTTATTGCAGCTTTTCCCAAACTGCTCTCATCTGTACATCTTTGTGCAACGTATTGAGATGGGCGACTGTAGAAACCAAATAAATAAATAAATCTGGAGTTTTCCACCGCCGGTTGTGGCACTAGATGGGGGAAGAAGAATTTGTTGAGAATGGAGAAGATGAATCCCTTTCAAATGCAACTTGATTTCGGGTGGTTTCATAGAGACGTATCCCAAACTTGGCCATTTTAAGATGTGCGGACTTCAACTCCCAGAATACCCCAGCTAGCATGGCTGGCTGGGGTATTTTGGGAGTTGAAGTCTGCACATCTTAAAATGGCTACAGATGAAAAATGGCTGTCATCTGTAAAATGGCTACAGATGACTCCCTCCTATATAAGCACCTTAAAAAAACCAAACCCCTAATTTATTTATTTTTTAAAGATCTTTACCTAATTCACATTGGGCCAGATATCTCCTACTATCATAAATACAGTGGAGCGTGATGGCTCATGTCATGAAAATGCTGGGTTGGAGTTAGCAAGCCCACGTTTGAGACCTGAGTGCGGCTGCATGGTGGGGTGAGCTCCCGTCATTCGCTCCAGCTCCCTGACAGGGACATAAAAGTAGCCCCCTTAGGAAACGGTGATGTCTCCGGCTAATCCTTTCAACCCAGATGTGGTTTAAACAGTACCTCCCACTGTCATGCCCCTGTTGGAATCTGATTCCGAGGGAGAGGTCGAGCAGCTGACAGGGAGTGGGAGTGTGGCTCTGGTGGCTGTGGAGGAAACTGGGGAAGGGCACAGTCTGGCTGGGCAATCAGAGGAAGACCCAGGGCCACCCCCTCTTCATCCTAGCGGATGAAGGAGAGCACGCAGGGAGGAACGGAGAAGGGAGCAATGTGGCTTACGGGAGAGGAAAGGGCCCTGATCCCCTTCATTAGCTGCAGCTGGGAAAACAGGATTTTAAAAAGGGAGTCTGCGCACAGCACCTTGCTGGAAGTGTGAATTTATCTTTATCAAGTCTTATTTGGATTCTGGCATCCTCCCAACTGTGTGTGTTTCGTTAACTTTTGAAACCCGCAATTCCTTATCCTGCCCTGTCTCGTTAATTGTGTTGGTTTTAATTTATAATTTTTATGTACTTTGGGTTTGGACTGAATTTCTTCCCTTTAAAAAGGGAGAGACTCTCTTGGGAGAGTTTTTTTTTTCTCTAGTCGAGGATAACTGGACATTGGGCGCCAAGTTGGAGGTATTAAAGGGACTTTACCTACTTTTGTGACTTTGTTGCTTTTGTGCCACGTCCCAGCTCATCACACCCCACACAAACTGGACAGGATAAATATGATAATTACCAGAAAGATCAGCATCCCAGTTCAGGTTTGAGTGACTACTGGGTTCCCTTCTGGCTGAAGGACCGACCTGTGGGTTAGGAAGAAATGGAATCATATCGGCTCACACAGGAGAAAAGGTGAGAAGTTGCTTTTTCATGAGACAAAGGTGTGGTTTTTTTTCAAGGGGAAACTGGACTTTCTGGTTTTGGGTGTTGTTTGTTTTTTGAAGATGTTTCACTTCTCATCCGAGAAGCTTCTTTAGTTCTGACTGAATGGTGGAGAAGGGGAGGAATTATATTCTGTGCAATCAAGGGTGGGATTCAAATTTTTTTAACAAACGGTTCTGTGGGCGTGGCTAGGTGGGCATGGTTTCTTTTTTTTGCAGCAAACACCCCTCCCCCCATTTTTTGCCTCCTGGGCCTCAGGGAAGCCTTCAGGGGGGGCGTTTTTGCTCCCAGAAGGCTTCCCTGGGGCCCAGGAAGGCAAAAAAAATGGAGCACAGAGGGAGGGGGCACAGCACCCCCCCAACCCCCTCCCCCGCATGCCCCTTTTGGCCTCCTGTGCCTTAGGGAAGCCTCCTGGGCGAAGCAGTAAGACAGTGAGGGGGATCCTGGCATAGCTGATCATCGGAACAGCTGATCGTCGGGGAGGGGGGAAAGAAATACTTTAAGGAGTGATTGGGTGGGGGAGAATTCAGTCAGCAATGTCAGGCAGGCACAATAAGGACTGACTGGGCAGGGAAGGGAAGCGTGGGCGGAGAGGGGCGGGGCCAGCCAGGGGCACGATTTGCCGGTTTTCCAAACTACGCAGAATTATAACAACCAGATCTATAGAACCAGTCTGAACCGGTAGAATCCCATCCCTATGCGCAATCATCTGGTTGTTAGCGCTCTCTCTGAGGACTTCCCTTTGAGCAGTTCAGCACCGAGAGCACAGATAAACCGCAATGACTCTCAGAGAGAGTGCTAATGATCAGATGACTGCGAGGAATACAAATCCTTCCGTTCCCCACCATCCAGTCAGAGCTGAAGAAGCTCTGGCAACCCTGAGATATTGGAACACTGCTATCGAGTCTTTTCTCTAGACCAGGGGTTTCCAATCTTTCGGACCTCAGGGACCACCAAACTCATAATTTTAAATCCAGCGGACCAGAGACCCTGGGAAAATCCCCCAAAAAGGTCTACAGGAAAACCCCATTTTCCTACCAATCGATCATTCTTTATTTGGGATCGCAGGATACCGTCTCCAGCTCCGTTCTGAGGAGGAGAGAGAGAGAGAGAGACTTTTGGCTTCACGCAAGGAAAGCAGCAGAAGCAGCAGAAGTCTTTCTTTCTCTCCCCCAAACTCCACCAGAAATGAATCTTTGGGAGACTGGTCACGCTGATGCAGCCTCTTGGAGCAGGACGCCTTGCAGGGTCCCAAAGACTCCTTTCTGGTGGAGTTTGGGGGAGAGAAAAAAAGACTTTTGCTGCTTTCCTTGCGTGCAGCCCAAAGCAGAAGAAGAAAGAAGCGGAAAGAAACAGGCGAGGAGCGTGGGGGAAAGTGGGGAAAGTCCCCCCCCCCGCCCTTTCTCCCTCCCCTCACTACCTCATGTTGTTTGCAATGCAAGCGACACAAGCCTTGGGTTCCCCTGGGCCATGTGGGTGGCGCAGTCTTGTGTTCCCGCGCAGCCTGGATTAATTGCTTTGGGGGGGGAGGTGCTTTGGGGGGTGACACTTCTCTGCGGACCACCAAAATTTTCTCACGGGCCATCAGTGGTCCCCAGCCCTCTGGTTGGCAACCACTGCTCTAGACTTTTCTCTAGACTAACCTTAGCCAATTCCTGCAACCATTCTTCCTACATTTTAGTCACTGTGATTAAGAAACAAAGAAGCTGCTTCTTCCTTTCAGTCTTGTCTTTCTTGATCTCCAGTGTGTCATTTACATCCAACTTTCCTGCAGTCTCCATTTCTCAACAAGTCTCCCTTACGCTCCAGATATAATTAACATCTGTTTGCATTCATCAGCACAGCTGGGTTAAGCCTCTGCTTGGCAGTCAAGCTACACTATCGGCATTTATCTTTTGGAATTGCTTTGACGGCTGAATTACTCATGTTTCTTTAATGCTCTGCACGCTCTCAGGAGACCATTGCCTAGCAGAGACTCCTGCTGAGTTCAGATTTCCACCGAAAAGGATCTCATTATCACAAGGGAAAAGAATTGGTTTGCCTGCAGTTTCATACCCCACTGCCCTTAGGTGAGTCTCTAGGGTAGAATTCAGTTCGTAATCCAGAAGAAAATGGCTCTTGGCCAGACTCTGCCAATTTGGGGTTCTTCTGTAGGGGTGGACTCCGGGCTGGGCTCAGGGGTGGGATTCAAATTTTTAACAACCGGTTCTGTGGGCGTGGCTTAGGTGGTGGGTGGACATGGCTTGGTGGTCACGTTATTGGCTGGGTGTGGCCAACTCAATATCACTCACATTGAGGCATGCATCTCCTCGCCTGGCCTCTCATGATTGTGGGGATGCCGCAACAGTCGTAAGTGTGAAAAATGGTCATGTCACTTTCTTCAGTGCCATTGTAACTTTGAACGGTCACTCCACACAAGCAAAATACCAGCAAAGGAGGGGAAAAAAACCCCAGAGAAGTTCCAGAGACAGGAAATCTAGTCCTGCCAAGAATGTAATAAGGGTTAATGGAGAGGCAGTTTCTGTAAGCAACACCAGAATGTTTCCTTCCTGCCTTCCTGACAGGATTAGGCCAGTAATTTCTTCTAACAACCAGTTCTCCAAACTGCTTAGAATGTTAACAACCAGTTCTAGAGAATAGGTGCGAACTGGTAGAATCCCACCCCTGGCTGGGCTGCTGGGGGTTCGCAGAGGTTCGGGAGGGCCCCTAGCTAAGATTCTGTGCAGTCCGGAGACCCCCCAAATCCCACTCCTGGCTGGCCCCACCCACCCCTCCGCTCCCCTCCCAGGAGTCCCCATGCAGGTCGTTTTGGATGCAGGTAAGTGCAGGGCTCGCACGGAGACTCAGGGAGGGCGAAAAACGGGCCTCCTGGAAGTTTGGGAAGGCCGGAAATGGGCCCATTTCCAGTTTTTAGAGAGCCTCCGGAGCCCGGGCGAGGCCATTTTCACCCTCCCAGGGGCTTGAGGAGTGGAACAGAGGTGGTATGCAGCCAGTTCTGACCAGTTCTGGAGAAACGGTAGTGGAAATTTTGAGTAGTTTGGAGAACCAGTAAATCCCACCTCTGACTGGTCCCGCCCCCATCTATTCTCCGCCTCCCACTGAGTCTCAGCTGATTGGCTGGCTCCTCTTTGGTTGCCCTGCACAGGAGAACGGAGCTGGAAAGCAGGTTAGCGGGATGGGGAGGGAAGGGGGATTTTGCCGTATCCTTCCCCTGCCACGTCTACCAAGACACGCCACACCCACAGAACCAGTAGTAAAAAAATTTGAATGCCACCACTGTTCTGGAACCCAGGGAGGGCAAAAACGCCCCCCCCCCCGGTGCTGGAGGCCAACTAGGCCACACCCACCATGGCCACGCCCACCCAGCAACTGGGCCTGTTGCTAAAATTTTTGAAGCTATATGGACTACAACATCCATCACCCTGTTGTCTGGGGATGATGAAAGTTGTAGTTCCCTCTGCAAGAATGGCATTCTTCAAGGTATTCTAATCGACAATTCCATTTGGACCATCAGTCTCCTGTCATGATAGTTTTACTGTATTTTTAAATTGGTCTTTTGTCATAGGATATTTTTTTCTGCTGAAGAAAAAGATTTAAAATAAATAAGCACACACATCTAATGTTTGATTAATTGAGGGGAGGAAAATCTTTGGATTTCAGAAAAGGAGGTTTTTAAAGCAACCAATTTCCTCAATTACAGGTAGCTCTTGACCTACAGCCATTCCTTTAGTGACCATTCGAAGTTACAACAGGGACTGGAAAAAAGGGACTTATGACCATGTTTCACACTTATGACTGTTGCAGCACATCATCGAAATTCATGCGCTGGGAAACTGGCTCATAATGATGATGGTCATAGTGTCCAAGGATCATGTGATCACCTTTTGCGACCTTCTGACAAGCGAAGTCAATGGGGAAACCAGCTTCACTTAACAACTGTATTACTAATTTAACAATTGCAGGGATTCACCTAATCATTTGTGCAAAGAAAGGTCGTAAAACGGGGCAAACCTCCTTAATAATTGTCTTGCTTAGCAGCAGAAATGTTGGGCTCAATTCCAGTCATAAGCCAAGGACTCACTGCAGTCCTTTGCCACAGGATATTTTTCTGCAGAAGAAAATGATTTCAATTTTTTTTAATAAAATAATACACCTATCCAATGTCTGTTTAACAAAAGGGAGTGGCACCTTTGGACCACAGAAAAAGAGGTTTTTAAAAACAAGCCAATTTCCTAAATTATACGGGTCATCCGCCACGTTCTGGCATCGGTTCTTCTTTCACCACAGGAAAGTTTGGTGGGGGCAGGGGGCGGGAAGAGACCGTGGTTAAGAAACAAATGATGATGCCCTTTAAGTTGAGCTAAACAGGCTGGGATACACCAGCTGAACCTGCCAAGGAGTTTGGGGGTCACCTGGCTGAAGTGGGTGGCGTAGGAACCCAGCGAGAGCGTGTGGCTGGACGCCGATCCATAATGGAGGCGAGAGTCCACCAGGCCGCCAAGCGGGGGCTGCTTCCCGGGGATGCTGTTGTAGTAATTGTGTCCTGAGGAGTCTTCCTCTTCACCCCAACAATCGTCCACTCCCATTGTCCTGATCAGAAAGACAAGTGGGGGGAAAGGCCAAGGCTATATAAACTGAATGAATGAAATGAATCAATCAATCAATCAAATAAACAATCACCAGAAACAAGGGACAATGAATGTCACATATTTCAGAAACATAGACATCTATAATATGTGTGTGTGTATGTGTGGGAGAGAGAGAGAGTGAGGGGGAGTCTGTGTGTGAAAGAGCCGTGTGTCTGTATGTGTGTGAAGGTCTGTGTGTGAGAGAATTCGTGTATGATAGAATGTGTGTTTGTGAGAGAATGTGTGTGTGAGTGAGAGACTCTCTGCATGTGCGAGTGTGAGCATGTGTGCACGTTTGTGGGAGAGTCTGTGTTTGTGAGAGTCTATGTGTGTCTGAGAATGTGAGCGTGTGTGTGTTTGTGACAGTCATATGTGAGGGAGAATCTGTGTGCGTTTATGTATGACAGATTCTGTGCATGTGTGTGTGTGTGTGTGTGTGAGAGAGAGAGAGAGTTTGTGTGTTTTTGACAGACTGCATGTGTCCTTGTGTATGTGTGTGTGTGAGTGAGAGAGAGAGACTCTCTGAATGTGCGTGTGTGAGTGTAAGCATGTGTGCATGCTTGTGGGAGAGTCTGTTTGTGAGAGTCTATGTATGTCTGAGAATGTGAGCATGTGTGTGTTTGTGACAGTCATATGTGAGAGAGAATCTGTGTGCGTGTATGTATGACAGATTCTGTGCATGTATGCGTGTGTGTGTGTGTGAGAGAGAGAGAGAGAGAGTGAGTTTGTGTGTTTTTGACAGAGACTGCATGTGTCCTTGTGTATGTGTGTGTATGAGAATGTGTGTGTGTGTGTGTGTGAGAGAGAGAGAGAGAGAGAGAGAGAGTCTATATGTGTGTGTGTAAAAAAATCAAAGTGCGTGTGACAATTGCATGATCAAAACTCCAACACATTTTTACATGGTGTGTGTAAAATTGGGGCAGGGGCTTCAATATCATTTCTTTTTACTAAAAGTTGGCTCTCCCTTCTCCTGGACCAGCTCCTCCCACACTACATCTAATTGGCTCCTCAGTTAGGAGGGAGGGGCTGGCCCAGTGTCAGCCAATGAGCTTAGGTGGCTGAGGGAGGATTAGATCCTGGATCTCTCCCAAACCCTAATCCACCCTTTCCCCACCACAGCTGATTGGCTGTTGGACTGAAAGGGAGGGACTGGCCCACATTCAGCCAATGAGCTTTTATGGTTAAGGAGTACTAGGTTGAGGAACTCCCCTCTCTTAGTCCAGCATCTTCCTCATTACACCTGATTGGGTCTTGGGCTAAGAAGGAGGAACTGGCCCAAAGTCAGCCAATGAGCTTCTGTGGCTGAGGATGACTACAATATAGGAGTCTCCCCGTTCCTAGTGCAGCCACTTCCTCACTATATCTGATTGGCTCTTGGGCTGAAAGGGAGGAACTAGCTCACATTCAGCCAATGAGCTTCTGTAGCTAAGAGGTGGGCGGGGCTAGAATCCAAATTTCCCTCTCCTTAATCCAGGCCCTTCTCCACTAGATTATATTTGATTGGATCTTGGAATAAGAGGGAGGGACTGGCTCAGAATCAGCCAATCATCTGACTGGGGAGGAGGGGGCAATCTAGAACTTGCAAGTCTAAATGTACAGATCTCTGCAGCATACCCGATCCTCAACGCGTGGGGAAACTGAGGCTATAATAATCCCATACCTCTCCTGGGGTGCTACAGTTTGGGGAGGGCTGTGCAGGTACTGCTTAAAGCGGAGCTCAAAGGCCTGCCCGATGGTGTTGATGATGCTCTGCGCCAGTCCGTCGCAGCATTCCAAGATGTGGCAGGCTGCCAAAGAGAAAAAGAAGATCCGCAACCAGAAATTAAACGTATTTTTCACACACGCGCCCCAAAAGAAGATACACAACAAAGACACAAACTGACACACCCACCACAAGACACAAATAGCAGCGGGAGATGCAGCCACAGAAGCAGGCAATGCAACCTTAGACTGTGTTAACTGAGCCAATGGGGCCTGTCAATGGGCGACATTGGCAGAACTCTGAAAATAAGACATACCTGGAGAAGCGAAAGTGAAAGTGAAACCAAAAGTGAAAGTGAAAAGAAGGGGAATAAAAGAATAAAACTTTTAAGGTTTTCACCTGGATAACATTCACATTCTTTTCCCTGGTTCTTTCATGGCCGCCAGTTGCTGGGATATCACACAGGTAGTTTCCTCGTTTAACGAACGGGTTTTTTTAGCAAGCATTCAAAGTTACGACGGACCTCTAAAAATGGTCCTTACGATTGGATTTCAAAGTTCCAATGGCCACACCCTCTGTCACAGTAACGGGATTGCAATTTGGGCTCTTGGCAACTGGCTCGCGTTGATGGCTGCCAGCGGCGTCCTGCTGTCATGTGACTGTGATTCTTGAAAGGTTTGGGTAGTATCTAAGCTTTACTTCTAGTTGCCATAAAAAAATGCCTACTAGGTGTTGTGGCTCTGATTCCCGAGCCTGTGCTGTTAGAGGAAGAGGACTTGGAAGATGAGGAGGAGGAACTGAGAATGCCTTCCTCCCCAGGACCTTCCTCTCTGGCAATGTCTTCCTCCCTGATGATGCCTCAGGTTTCATCAGACAACCGAGAGGAACAGCCTGAGATTAATCAGGAGGAAGGCATATCAGAGCAGCCCCTGACAGGGAGTCAAGAGGAAGAATGTTGGCTTGATCCTAGGCAGCGTCGTAGGGAGAAACGTGAGCAGCAACATAGGAGGCGTGGGAAGATCAGAGAGTGAGCTGAGTCATTGAGCCACACCCCACAGGGGATAAAAGTGTTGTCGGCTGGAACTTTGTACAGACAAAGTTTGATCTTACTTCAGGTTTTCTTTGTGAATGATTTTTGTGGTCTGCCTTGTAATTTTCTTTAAGTAGCTTTTTACTTGTTATCAGTTCGGACTTGGCAGGCAGAGGGTATTGGAATGCCAAGGACTTTATCAGTTCCAAAGAATTAACTCTGTGAAGTCTGAGCCAGCCTGCCTGCCTGTGTTTGTGTGAGTTTGTACTCTTTCATCTTTTGGGAAAGAAGAAAGGTGAGACAGAATAACTAGGTATAATGGGTTTAATGACTAGGGTAGGGGTTGGCAACCTTAAACACTCAAAGAGCCATATGGACCTGTTTCCCACAGAAAATAAAACACTGGCAGTCACAAAACCCTTCCCACGCCTGACTATTTCCTGAGCTGCCACAAAACTAGCATTTATAGTTGAATTAAAGAGTGTATTTTCTCCTGAAAGTTTTCTTTTCTTGGATTTATCCATGGTTGGCCTACTGGGGGTTGAAAGCTCAATAAATTGCATGCTGGTGGGTGTCGCATATTGGCAATTGCGATGCATATTTTGAGAGACAGGGAGCCGTAGCAGAGAGGTAAGAAAGAGCCACATGCAGCTCCAGAGCCGTGGGTTGCTGACCACCACAAAAAGGTAATAAAATTAGGTGCAGTCACGCGGTGTCCTGCTTAATGACTGTCACCACTTACTGTCTATGGAGATTCTCAGTCATGGTTGTCCCAAGGGTGCTTTTTCAAGAGGCAACTGGACTTTCTTGGTTTTTATGAAGTGAACTTCATAAAGTTCATTCTATTAAATTAAATTAATTAAAGTTCATCCAATTAACCAGTGGAACATCTTGCCTTCGGGCATTTTGGATGCTTCATCACTGGAGGTTTTAAAGAAGAGGCTGGATGTCTGAAATGGTAGTGTCTCCTGCTTGAGCAAGGGGCAGGACTAGATGACCTCCAAGGTCCCTTTCAGCTCTATTCTGATTAACTCATGGCACAACACAGGAGAACAAACCCATCAGGACAAGATTCAGCAGTCCATCTGCATTTAAGGGACAAAGGCCACTCTTCTGAAGACAACAAAGTCCTCATTTTGGACAGAAAAGACCGCTGGTTTGAAAAAGAGGTCAAAGAGGCCATCTATACCAAAATTGATCAGCCCTCTCTCAACAGAAAGGGAAGGATACAACATCATCTATCTCCAGTCTACAACAGAGGTCCTTTCTGCAGTTCCAAGAAGGCTCCACACCCATTTGCATCACTCGTGACCCTGAGGACACAGATAAACCTCCAGGTGGCCTCAACGACCCGCTAAAAGGATGCAAATAACCAGCTGTCTGCAAGGAGTATCACTCCTTCCATTCCCCACCATCCAGTCAGAGCTGAAGAAGCTTCTGTCAGCGCTCCAGAAAACCTCCATTCCAATCAATAACTCTGAGACAAGCATAATCTCAAAGGTACCTTTATTAGAATAGCACCTGGCACATCTGTGGAATCTCGAAACTAAAAGTTTCCCGGACGTCCCACAATGTCCCAAACTACAATCCATCCCCTTTTTAACCATCATCACATCACATGGACCAATCACGATCCATCCCAGTGTAAGATCCTTATTCCATCCGGCGCCACGCTTAATAACCTTAATATTCTTGGATGAGAAGCAAAACGTCTTCAGAGAAAAAAACAAGAATGACTCTTTTAAAAAGTGGCAACTTTTTTTGTGGGGGGGGAGAACTACCACCATTTTGGGACTGCCACCACTTACAACCATAATTCTGGGCTCAATTATGTTCATACGTTTAGGATTATCTGTACACACTACAACCAACCCATGCATTCCTATACGTTCTTACATCCCCATAGCACCTCCAAGATCTAAAAGATCTTGCCATGTTCACCGTCAACAACAACAACGATTAACGCAATGAACAGCAGGCTTCGATCAATCAAAACTTTTACTTACAGCTTTTTCAGTAAGATTGGAAAAAGGTGTAAATGAGAAAAATTAGCTAAGGGTCAAGACAACATCCGCTCAATTTAAGCACTTTTCATCTAAGCAGAACGAAAGCTCGGTTTTACCCAGATATCACCACACTCTTATCAAGGGAGCATCTTTGTATGGCAACATTTTTTTTAATTTTTTTAATTTATTTATTTATTTATTTATCTATCAAATTTAGATACCGCCCGTCTCTCGTTCCTCCAGGTTGACGTTACTGACACCCTGATAGCCTCTGTGTGGCTTAAAATCATACTGTTGGAAGTTAAAACCTTGGAAAATGAAATATTTTAGGAGATATTAGAAAGGCAGAATATGTCCCCCCAAAAGAGTAGAAACTCAGAAACAGAAATTCACCTCAGAAGCAACAGCTCATCCCCACCTTTGTTAATGGGTGGGCCATTAAGTCCTGGACCAGAGTATTCTACATAACAAAGCCCTCTACCCATCTCACCACCTGGCCTGGGAAAATTGCATCAGCCAGCACTCAGGTGAAGCCATGCGGTCCAGACAAAGCCTACAAAGTTAGCTGAGACCCCCGCCCCTGGGAATCTGACAGCCAATGGGATACGATTCTGACACAGGAACAGGAAGCACTAAGATGGGGCTCAACAGAGGGTATATAAGGGTTTCAGCATCTCAGCCCTCCCTTCTTTTCCTTCGCCCACCATCTTGAAGCATGTGATCGTCCTTTTCACTTTGGAGCTCCAAGCCATGTGGTCAGGGGTGGGATTCTACCAGTTCGTACCTATTCACTAGAACTGATGGTTAACATTCTAAGCAGTTTGGAGAACCGGTTGTTAGAAGAAATTACTGGCCTAATCCTGTAAGGAAGGCAGGAAGGAAACATTCTGGTGTTGCTTACAGAAACTGCCTCTCCGTTAACCCTTATTACATTCTTGGCAGGACTAGACTTCCTGTCTCAGGAACTTCTCTGGAGTCTTGTTTCCCTCCTTTGCTGGTACTTTGCTTGTGTGGAAGGACCATTCAAAGTTACAATGGCACTGAAAAAAGTGACTTATGACCATTTTTCACACTTATGACTGTTCCAGCATCCCCACAGTCATGAGAGGCCAGGCGAGGAGATGCGTGCCTCGATGTGAGTGATATTGTGTTGGCCACACCCAGCCAGTAACATGACCACCAAGCCATGTCCACCCACCACCTAAGCCACGCCCACAGAACCGGTTGTTCAACATTATGAATCCTGCATGTGGTCCTGTCCACCATTAAACCATCTTTCCGTACAGCCTCCATGTTTCCACTGTCTTTTTCCCCACCTGGAACTGAACTCAGAAATCAGATATTTCTTCCAACAGTACATTTTTAAAAGGCTGCAGTGCGGAGATGGATTTACGATCTGTCGAGGGGTAAATCTTCCAGCATCTTGATAGCGTAAGGAGCAAAGGAGAAGGAGGCTCAGCGAGAGCAGCTTACCTAAGGCAGCTAGCCAAGAGAGAGCAGAGCTGAAGAGCTGATAGCTCATCCCCCCTGGGCGCCGTCTGTCAGCCCTTATATTACAACCCTCACCCTGCAAGCTAAGATGCAGGCCGAAAGTTAGCTGTCTCTTGAGGGAGATGTATTGTTGTCGTAGTGCAATTCCTACAGGTTTTGACATTTTCAAATGGTGCTGTTTGTTGCAAATCTTAAAAGAGGTATATAACATGCATTTAACAGGTCTTTGACTTTTTTTTTTAAAAAAAGAAAGAAATCACAAAAGAAGAAATGGTTTACAATTCGTTTATACACACACATCCACACACACCAAATCAGAATAATTGAGTTGGAAGGGGACCTTGGAGGTCTTCTAGTCCAACCCGCTGCTCAAACAGGAGACGTATAGTACCGCTCCAGACATGTGACTGTCCAGACTCTTCTTAAAAGCCTCCAGTGTTGGAGCACCCACAACTTCTGAAACCAAGTTGTTCTACCGATTCATTGTTCTTCCCATCAGGAAATTTCTCCTTAATTCTAGGTTGCTTTTCTCTGTGATTAATTTCAATCCGTTACTTCTTGTCTTGCCCTCAGGTGCTTTATGGAATATGGAATATAGAATAAGTTGATCCCCTCTTTTTGGTGGCAGCCCCTTAGATAGTGGAACACTGCTATCTAGTGCTTTTTTGCTCCCGATGTGGATATGTGTATAGATCTAGGAACAGGCACTTGTGTGGGATGTGTGTGTGTGTGTAGGCCAGCCGCTTCGCTACGAAACTATGTGGTCAGGCTTAATTTTTAGGGAGGAAAATAAAGGGGGGAAAATTCTGCTTCTGCCTACCATCATCCATCAGTATTCATCTGGCTGGTGTCCTGTCAGCGTGTGAAAGAGTTGAGGGCTGTTTGGAAACTGAAGCAGTATTTGCTGTGTGAGCAAGAAGGCAGCAGCCAGGAGCCTGGGCGTGGCTTAGCTCAACTGTTCTCTACTAAAGCTGCTTGCTGCTGTGAAAGTAAAACTGAAACTCCTCTCCTCTGCTTGTGTTTTGCATATGGAACAGATTTCTTTTCAGGTGGTGAGGGGGAGTAGAACTCCTTAGCATCAGAGCATGTTAATAATAATAATATAGGAAATACTAATGCTCTGATGGTCATTTAGAAAAATCCTTTCTTAGAGAGCACCTAGAAGCCAAGAGGAACACACGTGCCAAATGTCAAGTTTGTAGGCTTTACGGTTCTAGAGATTTTGTGATGATGCGTGAGTGCTATTTCACTTTTATATATATTATCCCGTGGCCCCAGGTCATGAAGCCATCATAAAAACATGCTGGTTGCCAAGTGCCCAATGCCCAAATTTTGATCACTTGATCAAAAAGGGATGCTACAATAGTTGTAACTGCGAGGACCGATTTTAAGTCACTTTTTTTCAGGGCAAAGTTGCTAAATGAATGGTTGTAAGTCGAAGACTATATCACAAAATACATGGCTATGGGTATGCATATGGATGTATCAACCTATAAAAAAAATTGCTCACACCTGGTGTTATGCATTGCTTCATACAGGCAGATAAAAAAAACATAGCATAATTTTTAAATAACATCTTTGGCAAGCTTCTGTAAGACGCCATTGCTACAGCTTTTTAAAAGCTGCATGCTATTTCTCTAATCACACTCACCTCGCTGGTTGATGGGATCCTTGGCAACATAAGCGACGTAATCGGTTGTATCCTGGATGGAAATATAATTCAGAAAAAAAGAGAGTTAACTTTGTGCCTGGTCTGCTAATGCTAAGAAGCAGGACTTATAGTTGGGAGCAATTAAGAGCAATTAAGAGCGATACAGTTAGCCTGAATAAGTTATGGCCATGTTAGATAGAATTGTTTATAGATAGAATTCTTTATTGGCCAAGTGTGATTGGACACACAAGGAATTTGTCTTGGTGCAAATGCTCTCAGTGTACATAAAAGAAAAGATAGATTTGTCAAGAATCATAAGGTACAACACTTAATAATAGTCGTAGAGTACAATAAGCAATAAAATCATACTAGGAAACAGTCATAAGCCTTCCACAACCTCCAAATATGATGGACTGCAATTCCCATAATCCCTTACCAAGGGATTGAGTTTGGTTTGTTTGTTTTTTAACTTATTGTTAGAATACAGAGCTGGGCCAAGGATGGGAAAGGTATCAGCACTCCACCAGTTTAGCTGAATAAGGGAAAAAAAATTTTATTTATGGTGGATGGAGGTGACTTCTCTGCTGAGCAGCAGAATTCCTCCTGACCCCATTTCTAGGTTTGTTTTTAAACTTCACGTTTACCTTCCATGGTCAGGAAAATATATATATAGTGAGAGTGGATCAGTTGTTGAATAGATTGGACAGGAGGGATTTAAAGGAAGTTGGGAAAGCCCCTGGGGGAGATGGGGTAAGGGCAAGTTCCCCACCCTGGGTGGGTGAGGGGGCTGGACTAGATGACCTCTAGGGACATCTTCCAGCCTTTTCATTCTAGGATTCCATAAAAGAATATATTAGCCAAGGTTATGGTTTATTAACCTTGCTTAGCATGTTGTGGAAATGCATCCGCTAGATTTTTCATTGATTTGGCTAAAAGTTAGACTGGAATAATGTCCCTCAATCCTTCATTATAATGTTTCTCAAGGTTGGCAGCTTGAAAACTTGGGGACTTCAGCTCCCAGAATTCCCTAGCCTGCTCGCTGGGGGATTCTGGGAGTTGAAGTCCACAGGCCTTCCAGCCCACGAGATTGAGAAACACTGCTCCATGATCCCAAATTGGATAATGTATACAATGAGGGATGTCCATAAGGTTGGGGGCAAAAAAGTCAAGATGGCTGCTCTGATTGTGGCCATCTTGATTTTTTGGGCTATCTCTGCCAAGGTTCTCTCATGACAAGTACACCGAGCCTTTCTTTTCTTCCTTTATTTAAATCTTGATATATTTTCTCCTTTATTCAGACGTTCTCTGACAGACTCAGGAGCAAAATCTTAAGATTCAGCCCCATTTCTCTACTTTCTTCTGACTGCATTCTGTACCTGAGTCTCCTTTTCCTTCAATGATTTTTGTCTGTTGAAGCTCAGTAGGCATGATTGTGTGAGGAATTGCCTAAAATACCAAATAAACTTTGGGGGTCATGTTTTATCCAAGAATGTAACCCAAAGAAGCAGGGTTAAAAAAGACAAAAGACTGACAAAAGTGAATTTTTTATTATTTTGTGTATTTTATATTCTTTCTAGCTTTTATTGTTTTTTTAAAAGTAAAAGCTTAAAAGCTCACAAAGCTTTTACTATTTTTATTCTACTCTACCTATCTACAATAATAAAAACTTGATCGGATTATACCTGCATGATTGAAGCCCCACCCCTTTTAAAAGGGGTGGGGCTTCAATCCCACAAGGCAGAGTTGAGCTGCCATTTTGACTTCTTTGACTTCCCTTGGGTTTGGCCTTGATTTAAACAGGTTAGTTTTACTAACTGAATGAAAAGGGCTGATCCCATTTTGACCTTGGTGATAACGTGGGGGAAGGGAATATATTTATTTTAATGGGAAGATGTCAAAATTCAAACCGAGTAATTGGGGAGGGGTCAAAAATGGTGGCTATGATGATGCAATCATCTCCTACTTTTGCTTGCATCATGCATGCACAACACATGTAAAAAGGACATGTCATGTCTGCAAGAAGCCATCTTGATTTTTGTAACTCCTCCCTCTACTACATCAAGGTTTCCCAACCTTGCCCACTTTAAGACAGCTGGACTTCAACTCCCAGAATTCTCAACAATGGCTTCTCTGGCTGTGGAATTCTGGGATTTGAGATTTATACCTCTGGAAGTGAATAGAGTTAGGAAGCACCACCCTATATGGGCATTCCTGTACACCAGGGATCTTCAAACTTGACAGCTTTAAGACTTGCGGACTTCAACTCCCAGAATTCCTCCCCCAGTCATGTTACTCAGGAACTCTGGGAGTTGAAGTCCACAAGTCTTAAACTTGCCAAGTTTGAAGACCCTTGCTGCACACAAATCCGTGGAAAGCTGTAACATCAACACCGCTTGGCATTCTGGGAAAATAAAATGGCAGTCGACAACAGCTCAGGAGTGCCAAAAAAAACAAGCTTTAGAGAAAAGGGAGAAATGGATAAAATGGATGTAATGTAATGAGGCAGCTTGACAGGATGGTAGTGAATGGGATCGTAAGAAAATGTGTACAATTCTTCTCTGTCATTTTTAAATGTAAAATAAATAACACCCCAGTTTGACCCAAATACTGCAAAGAGTCAATCCTTCCTTTTTTTTGTTTAATCTTTGCCCAGATCTGCAGGTAAAGGTAGTCCTCAAGTTATGATTACAATTGAGCCCAAAATTTATGTTGCTAAGTGAAACATTTGTTAAGTGAGTTTGTCCCATTTTATGACTTTTCTTGCCACATTTGTTATGTGAATCACTGCAGTCATTAAATGAGTAAGTGTTGTGGTTCGCCGGCAGCAGGTGCAGATGGCTGAAGTCTCAGAGAACGAGGACGCAGGTGAGGGGCCTGCTGTGATGCAGGGATGGGGCCAGGACCATCAGGGAGTGGAATGCTGCCTTTGGAGATTGTGGAGGCTGGCAGCAGTGAGGAAGAGGCCCCCGAGGAGCCTGTGCCCAGTGCACCTGCGCACAGGGCTGCTCGAAAGAAAGAGCAGCTGCAACAGCACGGGTTACTTGGGAGTAAATCTGCAAGGTAATGGCCCCTCCCTTAAGAGATAAAAGCCAGCTGAGAAACCGGAGTTCTTTGCAGGAAGCAAAGAAGTTTTTGCACTCAAGCCTTGTGGACGTTCGGAATATCTTGGTTGGTGTTTGGAGACTCTTTGTGTTTGAAATATTCCTTAGTAACTTTATCTAGTGTTCTTGGCAGCCTTGCACAACCTTGGCAAGGCTCGTTCTTATCAGAGACAATTAGTTTGAAACATCCTTTTAACCTTGAAGGAACGGAATGTGTAAAGAATCATTAAAAGGTTTCGCTGTTACCTCTGTTTCGTGTTTGTTTCCTTGCAACAAGGTTTGGATCAGAACAGTAATTACGACTGTTGTTAAGTGAATCTGGTTTCCCCATTGACTTTGCTTGTCAGAAGGTCCCAAAAGGGGATCACATGACCTCGATACACTGCGACAGTCGTAAATGTGAATCAGTTGTCAAGCATCCAAATGTAAATCACGTGACTTGGGAATGCTATAATGGTCATAAGTTTGAAAAATGGTCATAAGCCACTTTATTCAGTGCTGTTGTAACCTTAAATGGTCACTAAGTGAATTGTTTTAAGTCAGAGACTACCTGCATTTCAGCCTGGGTATGCTAAAGACTCCTGAACTCAGCTTTCAGCAATCTGAGCACTCTCCAGATAAGTGGACTTCAATTCCCAGAATGCATTGTAACAGCCCAGATAGCCAGGCTATTACAATGCATTCTGGGGGTTAAAATCCATATATCTTAAAGTGGTCTGCTTTGAAAAACACTGCTTTAGACGCCTCAAATCCAGCGCTGTTCTTGGCAGCTTTGCAGAAGTGGTTTCCACTGTTTTCTCTCATCTAAGATTTCCTGGTGGTCTTTTTTCCAGTGCTAATCAGAGCCAACCCTTCATAGCTTGCAATCTCAGACAAAAACTTCCAGCAGTATGACCTGCAGGGCTCCCAGCCAGTATGACTTGTATGGCTGGGAGTTCTTTCCTGAGGTTGCAATCTATGAAGGGGTTGGCCCTGATGAATACTGGAAAAGAGACCACCAGGAAATCTTAGATGAGAGAAAACAGTGGTGAACCATATCTGTAAAGCTGCCAAGATCTACACTGGATTAGAGGAGTCTAAATTAAAACAGTATTTTTCTAAAGTAGGCTATTTGAAGACATATAGACGTCGACCCCCCCATAATTCTAGCTGGGGAATTCTGGGAGTTGAAGTCCAAGAGTCTTAAAGTAGCTAAGGTTGACAAACCTTAGTCTAAATCTCTTTAATTTGACCTCAGTTCTTTCATACTTGGTATAATTCAGGCCTGTGACCTCTCAGATTTGACTGCCTTTCTAAGTCCCACAGCTTGGACCGCAACAGCACAACTTCACAACCATCTTCCTCACCTGACATATTGTCATAGATCCATCAAAGATCTTGGTTACACTCTCTGGCTTATTTTAAAACTGTGCTCCAATGATTGGCATTTTGTCAAGGGAAGCAGAGACCAAATCCTGGCCTAATTTACCAGTGTTTTACAGGTTGCATTCATGCCACACACACTTCCCAAATTGCCATGCTCTGAGCTCTCCCACTTCAGATTACAGATAATCAGAGTTGGAAGGGACCTTGTAGGTCATCTAGTCCAACCCCCCCGCCCAAGCAGGAGACCCTACACCATTTTTGACAAATGGCAGTCCAATCTCTTCTTGAAAGCCTCCAGGGATGAAGCTCCCACAACTTCCAAGGGAAACTTCTGTTCCATGGGTTGATTGTTCTCACTGTCAGAAAGTTTCTCCTTATTTCCAGGTTAAATCTCTCCTTGTTCAGTTTCCATCCATTATTCCTTGTCTGGCCTTCAAGTGCTTTAGAAAACAGCTTGACCCCTTCCTCCTCTCTGTGGCGGACCCTCAAATATTGGAAGACTGCTATCATGTCTCCCCTGGTCCTTCTCTTTACTAGACTAGCCAAGCCCAGTTCTTGCAACCGTTCATTGTATGTTTCAGCCTCC